GAAGTGAAAATAATTATATTTTTTCAATGTATATTATATATATTTATATATAATATATTTTTTGTTTTTTTTTGTTCTTACATTACAAATAAAAAGGACATCCCTCCTATGACAAGCCTGTGTTAAAATCATCACTTCTTCAGGTTTTTTTCAGTACTTCCATGGAGTAAATTCTACTTCTTTGGAAGTCCTTTTTTTGCTGGGAACGTTTGGAAAACATCCAATAGTTGGCGTGGCATCTCCCACACGAAGTCGTATATTTGGAAAAATATTACAGCTAGAATCATATAGCGACGTTTTTATTTACATTGTTTTGAGGGTAGCAAAGCACACTGGGTATAGCTAGTCCATATATATAAAAATAGGTGTGTGATTGTTTGTACGTTTATATGTTTGAAGTTTATAGATGACTAAACGGCTGAACCGATTTTCTTGAAATTTTCACAGAGTATTCCTGTATGTCTGGAAGAGGCTATAGGCTACTTTTAATTTTGAAATTTGAATTGGGAGAGGAGTCACGACCATATACAAAACAAGTATTAAAATTCGCATATCTCAGAAACTGCAACATCTAGAGCCCTAAAATTTTTTACAGATAACTTTGACATCCATGAGAATATTTTTGGACAAAATGGTCGGAATGGATATATTTGTGAAAAAAGGGGGACTTAAAGCTGCCATATGAATTAAATAGAAAAATTCGTATATCTGAGAAAGTGTTGGAGCTAGAATTTCCAAATTTTTCGTGAAGAACTTTGACATTCATGTGAACATCTCAATGGGGGGCTTGGCACCTAAATACAAAATCTATAAACCTAAATACAATATCTGGTAAACTAAAAGATTATTCACATTTTGCATAGGTTACATTAAAATCTTAATAAACCTTTACATATGTAAACAATTGTATATCTGGAAAACTATTATATTTAGAATCTTCAAAATTGTTAAGTGGGTTTTTTTTGTTTATATTGCTTAAACGGTAGCAAAACACACTGAGTATAGCTAGTATGTACATATAATCAGATGCATAACCATTTACTTTTCAATGACTTCAACTTACCGTTTGCTTTACTTTTAAGTACTCTTACATATAATCAGATACGCAAGTACTTTATTCTGAGTTTTGCCATTTTAATTGCACATTTCACAGAATCGCTTGCCAGCAACCATTTTTACACACATAGAAAGAAAATGGTTTTTCTGTATTATAGCCATTATTTGGAGCAAAATAAAATAACTAAGCAGTGGTGTTGTCGGTAAGACAGCGAGGTAACGAACAACAAGCCGAGGTTCGTTTTCTGTGTGAATAATTTTTTTTATTATTAAAACAAAACACCTTTTTATTTATTTGATTTGTAATCAAGCGTATTAAGTATTTGCCTCCAATGTCATCAGTGTGTTATACAACCGTGTAATATACGTTTTCTATGTGAATTTTTTTTATTTTTAAAACAAAACCACTTTTTATTTATTTTTGATTTGTAATCAAGCGTGGTAAGTACTTACCTGCAATGTCATCACCGTGTTACAGAACCGTGTTCTATATCGTATTATATACAAATATAAACATTTAAACTAAAATCTGTGATAATTGGTATTTCTTATGATCAATTGCCATTTTCGACATTTTGAAGAACATTGATTTAGGTTATCCTTATAGCTCATTTACTACAAGACTGGCATAATCCAAAAACAGTCGTTTCGTAAGAAATCGCTTTGAACTTTTAAAAAATCAACAGGTTTAAAAAAATAAACTAGAATTAAGTAGTAAGTAGAGGTTAATATGTTTCTCATCTAAATTTAAATTTAGTTTTTGTTTATCTAATATTTGTGAAAACATGAGTCTTATTTTTTACGTTTACAACAAAAAATCGTCCACACCGAAAGTAAAAGACATATTGTTGAACCGCAATTTCTTAATATATATGTATGTATGTACGTTGATGGTGAAGTTTAGTTATAAAACTTTTGGAACCTAGATTTTATAGTTTCCGGGTCACCACGGCCTCTATTGCTGGTCCGCTTAATTAGGTTTTAAATATATTCAGCTTTTACAGTACCCTAAATATAATTGGTTTGCTTTTATAATCTACGGATGATCAAATATCCAAATATTAGCATTAATTAATGAATTTTTAAATATTTCTTCTCGTTATTGATGTTTAAATATTAAACTTAGAGATGTCCATAAATGGATTTTGTTTGATGAGTTTTAATTTTGTTCATTAATAACTAAATCAAATAACGAAACCCTATGCCGGAAATTGATAGAAATGTATAAAATTTCGTTTACAATAGGAATTTTGTTTATTTCTTCAAAAATGGCATTAAACAATTTATTTTCTTAACATTTTCACTAAACCTTATCATCTGGAGAAAGTTATCCAACGAGGTATAATTATATAATTTTTATGTCATTAGAAAATAAGATTTGGTAGAAATTTTTAGAACATTTAGTTGGTAGAAATTTTTAGAAAATTTAGAATAATTTAGTAATTTACAAATTATCCAGCATGTATATTTAACAAACAAGAGGATGATAGTTCTTGCCCTACTTGATTTTTTCTCGAAATGAGATTGTTTTACTTTTTTTATTACAAAGTTGTAATAAAAGAACTAGTTATTGGAGCATTAAGTAAACAGCTGGAGTAAGAAACACTGTCAATAACTGAACGCCTGGGTACAAATCTCGTCTGGGAAAAATTTTATATTTTAGTTTTGTAATTACGATCAGAATATGAGTATTATTATTTCATCGTTTTTAGTATATAGATTTATAAATAGTTATATGTTTACATAACCCATTATTCGCAGAGTTTCTGTAAGTAAATTAGTAACCACATATTTTGTTTTCAGTAACTACTTAATTTTTTGGACAACGTCGTTGTTATTCCATAAAAAAGTAAGTAGTTTCTACTTGTTTCCAATAAAAATAAAAAAGCAAATCCAATTTTTTTGTGATTTATTTTATATCTAACATTTAATAAAATAAATTACAATTTTAACAAAAAAACATCATTTTCTGTTTGAAATACTCTGCCAACTCACGCTAAACCTGTTGTCAAAGCTCCTCCAAATGGATTCGGGTTACTCGGTATTCTTCCAACCGTATCTTCAGGATTACTCACAAAATCTCAATCGGATTGAGGCCAATGCTTTGGGCTGACCATTTTAGTAATAAGTAATTTTGTGGGTCAAGCCAATTTTCACGATTTTTGACATGTGCTTTGGGTCGCCATCGTGCGGAGATATAACCCTGCGGGAAATTTGTATCAATTGATCCAAAAGTACCTATCCCGTGATATGTGAAAAAATATTATTACAAAAAGTATAGAAGTGTGATAGCTGAAATATAGACTTATCTCCTGATTGAGGAACTGACACAAAATTATTATAATATAAACACCACATTTTGTCTATATTGAATCAATTTTGTTTTTGCAAATTGAATTAAATATATTGTTAAATACTCCAGACTTTTGGATATGTTAAGTGACATGTAATATTCTTACGAGTGTAGAGTAACGCTTGTATTTTAAATATTTACAATTATTTGCATCTTATGCAAATTTTTGCTATTGTTTCATTAATTAATTAATTTTCCGAAATTACACAGGTTCGCTGAGGTAAGTTCCGTGACATGTCACAGAGTATGAAAGAGGTGTCAATTAATCGCCATATAAAGTGTCAGAACGGTTCCTATCACTTTAGAACTAGCGCGTGTTTCATGTTAGTTCCCTTGGCCGCAGGGTAATTCTTCCCACGTATAGGCGCTCTTATCCACAAAATCAAAACCACGAATCTTCAAAATACGTAAAAGTTTATGTATTGTGGTCGGGGACTTTTAACTGGAAACTGTAACAATAGAAAAATAAAAAATCTACATGACACCCGAAAAAGACTGTATATCTTTTTCTTCTGATGCTTTCTAGTATAGATCTATCAAGTTTTTAAATCTGCTGTGGTTGCAACGTGTACTGGGGTAATTGGAACATGCACAAAAGGTGCAAAAAAGTACCAAAAATACATATATTTTCCGATTTTACCCGTGTGTTTTAAAATTTTCTAAAGATTAATATTTAATTGATATTATTTTAAGCAATTTTTCACTCATATTTAAAATTTTGACTCTTAAAACATATTTTTTTAAATAAATGTAGAATGCCCTATTTTACCCGCTTTTACACCCTGAAGGGTTGGCAGTCGCAAAAGTACTTTACTAATACATGTATTTAAATGTTTTGAGATTAACATTTTTTAAAAAATACTATTTTACCCGTTATGCCCCTTTTTGGTACAAGATCAAGAAGTGATATAGCCTATTGACGTTTTCATAGCTTTATGTTTAATCATTTCAAAATTCAGAGTTTAGTCCCCCTAAAGTTGCAAAATCTGCCACTGTACATCGCAAGGAATCAGTAAAACACGTGCCACCATGGACCAATGCAAAGAATCTATGAAATATTGAGCACAGAAGGCTATTGTAGAATTTTGAAGACTCATCATCCCGATTTTGTAGACTCATTATACCTATTAGTAGGTAAGAACACCAATATTGTGGTAGAAATAATTGTCAATAAATAGTAACATGTAAGAGCCGCTATTCAGTGTACACCATCGGTCGTGAACAAATTGAACAAATAAGTTACACAAATTGTTTTATAAAATCTTTATTCTTTTTTCTAAATACATACTATTTGTTAATATCTTACTCTAATTTGTATTGAAGCTTTATTGAAACACTTACAACCGTGGACCATACCGGGTACAATGCTAGTAAATGCTAGTAAATAGGTTATATGGAAAGCTTGTAACTTATGTTTTTACAAATCTCGTTATTTAAGGTGCAACAGAATTTTACCATATTTTTTAAAAACTTTATAATTTAATTAGAATACATAAAAATATGTAAATAAAATATTAAAGAAGCTAAAAATATTATGCTATAGCTATTAAGAAATAATTAAAAAATCTAATATATTTTAATTTTGATTTGCTTACTGTGTGTGAAAATCGTAGCCATTCGTGTCCTCTGTTTCGACACTTGTGTTGGCAATATTTAAAGTGCCATTACGGTGGTTATCAACGTCTAAGCTTCCAACGGAGCCAATATCATCAATGCCGCCGACGCCAGGATTATTTCCTGTAGCCATAACACCGCCACCAACATTCGTTCTGTTAGCCATGCGATTGTGATCAATGATAGAATTGAAATTCGTTTTGATTGCAATACCAATAATAGACCCGTGAAGCTGGGGGCGTTGCTTGGAGCTACAGTACTCTTTACCATCACTATGAAGGTGAGTCTGACACCCGGCTGGACTTCTTTGGCTAACTTCGCAGATATCGTAGTCGTCGTTACCGCCATCATTTTCACTACCATTATTTTTATTACCAGATTTATTAAACATGTTACTGCCACTGCTGGCACATCGTTGACGGGACGAGGCGACAGCAGTTGATGAATCTGGGCTGTTGGCAATTGTGTCGTTGAGAACACTGCTGCCATCAACAGCCTCGTTAGAAGCTGTCGAAGTAATGGTGTTACCAAACTGTTGCGAGTTTGAATTGGGCGATGAAGACGGCTCATATTTGCGCGGACGGCCTCTCGACAAGTGGCGCCTTTTAACAAACTCACTGTCGTCAACCATCCAAAAGGAGCTAAAGTCATCTTCGTAACGCACAAAGCATTTGTGCAAAGACAAATTCGTACGTATGGCATTCTATATTTTTTTTAATCAGAGGCATTGCGTTTTGTTTATAAAACAAACCCAGACCCAGTTAGGAAGCGTAAACGTTGTTTATGTATATATTTATAGATTTAATTATATAAAATTTTATAAAAAAAATTAAAGAGAGTATAGGAAAAAAAGAAGACAAAATTTTTATGAAATTGACATTATAAAAAATTAACGAATATGTATAAAATCGAAAAATCTTCATGCAAGTATTAAAAATTGAAAATGTATAAAATAAGCTTATATTAGATTAAAAAAGTATTAGTATTAAAAAATCTTAAAAAAATAAAATCGATCAGGATAGATTAATAGACAACTCACACTTGTTTATTTTTTTATAAAAACAAACCATAAAATTGTATTTCGGTTTTTAATTTGTATACCATTTTCAATAGTAGTCTCAAATGTATTTAGAAATATCCACATACATATAATTGCAACATAATTACGTTTAGTATAAAAAAAATATGTGTAAGTTATCAAAGACTGTAAAATATGTTTAGAAAGTACAAAAGTAAGTAAGAAATCTAACTTTTAAGTAATTAATAAAAATTGTAATAAAATATAAGAAAATATATTTTTAACAAATGTAAAACCAATGTTTGCATAGGCAAGATGGCATGACATTATCTTCAACAAATTAATCACTAACAACCTCATACAACTACATATTTGTACGAAATTTTTGGGAAACTTTATTACACTTTCGCTCTATTTTAAATCTGACCACATTTTAGGTTTATCCAGCATAGGTGTTCATTGGGAAACCTTTAAAAGGGTTTATTTTAGGAATAACTAAATATATTTCAAAACTTGATGGTTTTTTTTTGGGAAAAAAATTACAAAAAATAAAGTGGAGCCGTTATTTTCGGGCTTTGCAAATATTATTTCTATTCAAAGATTAGTATTTATGTCTCGGAAAAATCCAAGAAAAACGAGAAAGTTTTCATTTACTTTCATTTAAATGCATTCTTGAAAAGTATTTAAAGTAAATACATATGTTGTATGTACACTAGAGGAGCCCAAAAATATCGATTTTATTTTAATGAAACTTATTTTGTTCATTAGTGTCTAAAACTAACTGGTGTTAAATTTCTGCTCCGGAAATCTATTAAAAAGTTTAAAATGGAAAATAGAACTCTTTTGATTTCTTCGAACATAGTTTCACAAAGGTCAGCTATCCAGGACACTTTTTAAAAGGAATCCAAAATGCAACATCAAATAGAGGTGCAATTCTTTACATTTCAGTTTTAAAAAACACGCTCACATTAAAACAAAGCAATATAAATTAATGAAATTCACAAAAAATATGTACTTATTAATTTTTATTGCTAATATAAAAAATCAGCAAAATCGGCCCTGTAAGTTCAGAGTTATGAGTTATTTCGGCAACATCTAAAAATGTAGGTTTTTTCCCCTTCTTCGGTATTTATTTTAAGAAATACAGAAGATAGTTTGATATATTTTATTATAACTGCATTTATAATTTCTTCCAAGGACGATTAAGGTTGAAAATCTTAATATTCGATAAAAAAATGTATATACAAATTTATGTATGTACATTAGAGATATGAATTTTGTTTATTAGTGTCTAAAACTAACTGGTGTAAAATTTTAGCCAAATCGGATAACGGGAACCCGTTCCGGAAATCGATTTTAAAGAGTAAAATTGGTTAAATTAATTTCTTCAAAAATTGAACCATTAAAATTATATATTCTTAACATTTCAAACAAATCTTATCGAGCGACAAATAAAAAAGTTATATAGATGTTCAAGGGCTTGAAATTTACTCAGTCAAAATTATTAGTTCACATGGAAAAGTCTTATTTCGGAACAGCAATGTAATATCTTTATTTATATTTAGAAAGTGTGTAGTTAAAAATATCAATTGCAGAATTGAATAATAATGATATTCTAAAAGTTTTTATTTCAAAACTGGAATTTATTGGCTTAATCTAATTAAAATGTATTTCATATGGTTTTTTCTGGGCAAATAGTATTTGCCCAGCAAAAAACGTGATAATGAGTTGTACTTATTCAACAACATACTTTTCAATGGCAACTACTTACGTCTGTATTACTTAAAAAAAACTTAAGTAATGACTTTCTTTAAATCTGATATAGAAGTACTTTATTTTCGTATTTGTCATTTTGTTTGCACATTTTAATTTATAATTTTGTTTTACAAAAAAGGAAATGAGCAGTCAGTGCAGTTAGTAGTTAGTTAGTTAGTTTGTTAGTTAGTTAGTTAGTTAGTTAGTTAGTTAGTTAGTTAGTTAGTTAGTTAGTTAGTTAGTTAGTTAGTTAGTTAGTTAGTTAGTTAGTTAGTTAGTTAGTTAGTTAGTTAGTTAGTTAGTTAGTTAGTTAGTTAGTTAGTAGTTAGTTAGTTAGTTAGTTAGTTAGTTAGTTAGTTAGTTAGTTAGTTAGTTAGTTAGTTAGTTAGTTAGTTAGTTAGTTAGTTAGTTAGTTAGTTAGTTAGTTAGTTAGTTAGTTAGTTAGTTAGTTAGTTAGTTAGTTAGTAGTTAGTTAGTTAGTTAGTTAGTTAGTTAGTTAGTTAGTTAGTTAGTTAGTTAGTTAGTTAGTTAGTTAGTTAGTTAGTTAGTTAGTTAGTTAGTTAGTTAGTTAGTTAGTTAGTTAGTTAGTTAGTTAGTTAGTTAGTTAGTTAGTTAGTTAGTAAGTTAGTTAGTTAGTTAGTTAGTTAGTTAGTTAGTTAGTAGTTAGTTAGTTAGTTAGTTAGTTAGTTAGTTAGTTAGTTAGTTAGTTAGTTAGTTAGTTAGTTAGTTAGTTAGTAGTAGTTAGTTAGTTAGTTAGTTAGTTAGTTAGTTAGTTAGTTAGTTAGTTAGTTAGTTAGTTAGTTAGTTAGTTAGTTAGTTAGTTAGTTAGTTAGTTAGTTAGTTAGTTAGTTAGTTAGTTAGTTAGTTAGTTTGAAAGTAGGCTGCATACACATACAACATCACCATTGCATTGGCGAACGACACGACCTCCGTTCAACTAGACTAGAACACTAACCTACCGGAGGTCGCACATTTCAATAAGTAATATTATATGGGTAGCTTTTTTTGACTAACGGAATTTGACCTTTAAACCTTTATTTCTTCGGTCTGAACACAGCCAAAACTTTAGTAAGGATTCTTATGAATAACAATTATAGCTTTTAAGCATACTTTTGTATAAATGGATGTTTTGCAGTATAATTTCTCAAGAAAAGTTTCTTCAATTTTTAACATACTTGTCAAAATTTCTTAATTTATGTTCATTTTCAATTTATTAATTTCTTAGGGACTTTTTGGTCCATTTTAGGATTAAGCAATATGCAAATTATAACAACTAGTTTATCCTTATAAGCTAAATTTTGAAGAATTATAGTCATTAAAGACAGAAAAATATTACCTTTACTTTTCAAAGAAACCTGTGCAACTCCGGGTACACGCAGCTAGTAACATACATAATATATTTGCATTGCTATAATTATTTATTTATTTCAATTTATAATTGCCATGAAAATGTTTTCAGCAATCAAAATATTGGTAAAATCTAATTAAAGCAGCTTTATCGATTTTGAATTTTTGGTTAGTTAGGGCCTTTTGCGTTTCAGGTGGCGTATGTATGTATACTCTGAATCCTTATACATAGATAGCGGAGTCGATGAAGCCATGTCCGCCTGTCTGTTTACCTATTTTGTTTTTGAAGAAATAAAAAATCGTTTTAATATCATAAAATTATTCTAGTTCTACATAGATAAATAATTTTGGACCGTAGTTACTTAAATAAATCGAAGATCTTTTAGTGCGGTGAGCAGGGCTGCCAGATAAATTTGTAGAAATATAGGCAATTTTTTCCCAAAAACTTACATTTTAATAATCGGTAATTGAAAGAAACACTATTTTGTACCAAAGAAACATAACACAAATAAATTCAAAAATCACAATATTGTTTTTACATACATGCATAACTCAGGGAATTTTTATTCAGAAGGTCTAATAAAAGAACTATTTGTAAGGGTACACCGAAACTTTGGTTTACTGGAATAAAATCTATTAGAATTTGTATCATTTTTGCAGAAAATTGTAAATGTATAATTATTTGTGGAATACTATACATTTACCCTGTAAAAAATTTTCAAATTTTGGTTATGAGTGATGTAGTTATTTCATACATTACTTGACAGTGAGTGATCGTTATCAACAGTATTAATTAATTTTTTCAATAGGATTTGTAACCACTTGTCTTGAGCGTGTGTCTAATATGGAATTAGTTAATGGGTCTAATCCTAGTCGATATTAGAAGTTTTTTGAAAAAATAAAGTTTTTTAAATTTTTGTTAAAACTATTCCAAATTGCACGAGCAAATAACTTGTTAATGGAACATTGAGAAAGAGAATAGACTAATAAACACAGAAAATTACTGCAAAGCCGATTTTAAATAGCGATTTAAAAAAATCGCTATAAGCCAGGAAATAACCAAATTATAAATTATTTTCATTAAAATATCTATAAAATAATAAAAACATAATAAAGGCATTTGGGATCAATTCTTCTCTATATTGAATTGTCAAAATGGTTAATATTGTAAGCACTAGCGGCCCACGATATACTGTGGCTGCGATATACTGTGGCTGCAAAACATGTGTGTGTTTGAACCAAATTATTTTTGCTCTGTTTGGTACCATCAAATATTTGTTTAAGTCTGAACATGACATAAATATTGAGTTTGTTTGACACAACTTTATAAATATTTTATAACAAATATTTGGACCAAATATTTTACAGGTCTGAACGTAGCTTTAATGTATTGTTTTAAATATTTTTTAAACGAATCAATATCTTTATTTTTTAAATATTTGTTAAACTCAATATTGTGTTAATATTTTTAAGCAGATATTTTCTGCTATAAAAAACATTACTAAAATACTTTAAATTACATAATTTTATTACCATTAGCTGTAAATTTTAGATCTTTTTGCAGTAATTTAATTTTTATTAAA